TAGTAGTAGTTAGTTTAGTTAAGTAAAAAAAAAAAAAAAAAAAAAAAAAAAAAAAAAAAAAAAAAAAAAAAAAAAAAAAAAAAAAGAAAGAAAAAAAGAGGATTAGATTACAATTGCAAGAAGAAAAGGGAGATTACCTCAATAAGAGTTTATGGCACAATTGTTTTGTGAGATCATCAAAGTTCTATAAAAAACATGACATTTTTACTGTGTTCTTATTACTAAATAAGAGTTTGGTGGGAAAGGGCCTAGGGTCGTGGTGCTAGCATTCTCCACACCCAGTTATCACATCGCGGTATCCATTCCTACTGCTAAGCATTTCAATTAACACTTTAAAAAATGAAACTCCTTGATCTATTGAAAAAAATGGGTAGGGGCCTTTCCAAGCTCGGAAGAGCATGTGCACTTTCGTGTGCAACTTTTTGTTCCTAAGATGCCCATGTTAAATTGATGAGTGATTTAGGTAGTATGTGCACTTGTGCAACTTTTTGTTTCTAAGATGCCCATGCTAAATTGGTGAGTGATTTACGTAGATGTACACTTGTGCAACTTTTTGTTCCTAAGATGCCTATGCTTAATTGATGAGTGATTCATGTATGGACTTTAAAATTTTAGGTAAAATATGAAATACTCTATTTATAGGAGGAAATTACAAAGAAGGTCAACCCATTTATGATTTTTTTTTTTTCAAAATTTCCCTTCAGTCAACCCGAGTTTTGATTTTTTTTAAATTTTTTTTTAGTTTTTTCATTAGTAAGGCATTGCCTTAAAACTTGAGACGTTGCCATATTAATGAAAAAACTAAATAAATACATAAATAAATAAATAAGTAAAACTCAAAATTGGAGTTGATCAATGGGTAATTTTGAAAAAAAAGAAAAAAGAAAAAAAAGAGATTGATTGACTTTCTTTGTAATTTCCACTTATAAACAGAGTGTTTTGTATTTCACTTAAAATTTTAGTGTGCGTACGTAAATCACTCAATTGATTCTTTAAAAAGACATGACCTGATATTTTAGATTTTGATTTTACACAAACCGGGAAATTTGTAGATAAATGTTCCATATGAAATACAAGTTATGTAATGCTTTTAGAAATATATTGAGTTGTATATTTTGAAAAAGAGAAAATATCTTACCATAAAATTCTCTTTCCAAAAATACCAATTTATCCGAAATTTTTTATTTCCAAATAATTAACAATTTCTCCCACATCAGTTTGCTCCTCCATGTTAATGCTAATTATCCAAAAAAATGTAATCATAAATTTCAAGGGAATCTTACTTTTTCGTTTCTTTTAATGGAGCGTCGAGAGAGAGAGAGATGTAGTCTGAAATGGACTTTACATCCTAGGCTCTATACAAACCGCACCCTTTATTGATAAAGAGAGAAATAGAAGGTGTGGAGGAAGCCATGTTGCGAGTAAGGACCGTCAGATTAGCAGCATGTAGTCGCTTCTTTATGAAATGGCAGTGTCTTAGATGGTTATCTGTTTCTCTACTTTTCAATAATAAGTGTGTTTAGATTGAGAAAGGTCGAGAAGCTTTCGTGTTATGGCAAATTACGTTTGGTTTGTTAATTGTAACATTTTAGAACTTCTAGAACTTACAGCTCAGTTCAAAGTTAGAGAGAGAGAGTACCAAAGAATAACTCTAATAAAGTGAGTGAGACATGATAATGTTAACTTAGAGAGAGAGAGCAATGGTTGGAAACGGGGCGGGCAAGCCTTGGCTTTGCCCTGGCCATTTGTCCGTAGAGGATCGGGCTAAAAATAAAGGGTGATTTATGTATGGATTTTAAAATTTTTTTAAAACACGAAATCTTTTATTTATAGGTAAAGGTCTGTGTAACCCTTTTTTTTTTTTTTTATCAAAATTGTCAATTTAATTATTTTTTTTAAGCTTGGGACTCAGCCCTGCTAATGAAAAAACCAGAAAAAAAGAAAAGAAAATTTGGATCGAGAATTCCATATTCAGATTTAAAAAAAATTTGAAAAAAAAAACAGGTTGATCGACATTCTTTTGTAAATTCTACCAAAAAGAATTTAGAGTTCATATCTAAATCACTCTAAAAGGAAACTAATTAAAAAAAAAAACAATTAGCGGCCGAGCTTAACCATGCCAGCACTAGCCTTAATCGTGCCCTCAAGACACAGTTCATGGCTAAGACCCTAGTTTTTTAAGACCGCACCACTTGGCTCATGGCCACCCCTTAGGGCTTAGAAAGTAATTGTTAGGGAGAGACATGAGAAAAGAAGTGTAGAGAGAGCATGAGCAAGATGAGGAAATGGTGGTAGTGACGTTTTGAAACTGTCATGTGGATGCGTGTTTGTCATGAAGGTGCAAGCATCTCAGCCACGTACGGATTTGACCGTGCACGGTGAAGAACAGGCGGTCGCGGGTAGGCGTCGAAGAAGGGGTTGTTGGTAATATAATGGCCTGCAAATATAGGCCCATGACTGCCTGGCCTGGCTCATTACTTTTTACTTGGTCAAATAAAAGAATTTCTTCCTTTCAAAATTAGGGTTCTTTTTATTTTTTTTTATTTTATTGACAAGGATGTGCCAGCCCATGTGAGATCTTCCTAGCAGCCTCCCAAATGACTTTTTGTACATGTTTTTTAAATTTTTTTTATGGCAAGTGACTCATGCTATTTTGTAACATTTGTTTGCACACCTCCTAGCATTAGAATAAGGTGTTGGATGGGTATAAAAGGGTGGCAAGGGGAAGGCCTTAGCATAAGCAATTGGAGTTTGAACATGGGTTGGTCTAGAGAGAGGAGAAGCATGGCGTCTCAAGGCCTCCCACTCATGTCCCTTTGTGTTGTCCTATTCGCCCTCATGCCTTTGGAGAGCAGTGCAAGCTATAGCTATTCATCTCCACCTCCTCCATACCACTATACCTCTCCTCCTCCACCAGTGTATTCACCCCCTCCTCCATACCACTACAGCTCTCCTCCTCCACCAAAGCAATCCCCACCTCCTCCTTACCACTACAGCTCACCTCCTCCACCAAAGCACTCTCCACCTCCTCCTTACCACTACAGCTCTCCTCCTCCCCCCAAGCACTCACCCCCTCCTCCATACCACTATAGCTCACCTCCACCACCAACACACTCACCACCTCCTCCATACCACTACAGCTCTCCTCCTCCCCCTAAGCACTCACCCCCTCCTCCTTACCACTACAGCTCACCTCCTCCACCAAAGCACTCTCCACCGCCTCCATACCACTATAGCTCTCCTCCACCACCAAAGCACTCTCCTCCTCCTCCTTACCACTATAGCTCTCCCCCTCCTCCTAAGCATTCACCACCTCCTCCTTACCACTACAGTTCTCCTCCTCCACCTCCTCCAGTCTACAAGTACAAGTCTCCACCACCACCACCTCCAGTTTACAAATACAAGTCCCCACCTCCTCCAGTCTACAAGTACAAGTCACCACCTCCACCTCCCCCAGTTTACAAATACAAGTCTCCCCCACCACCAGTCTACGAGTACAAGTCTCCTCCACCACCTCCTCCAGTTTACAAGTACAAATCTCCTCCTCCTCCAGTCTACAAGTACAAGTCTCCTCCACCACCTCCTCCAGTCTACAAGTACAAATCTCCTCCACCTCCTGTCTACAAGTACAAGTCTCCGCCGCCACCTCCTCCAGTCTACAAGTCTCCTCCCCCTCCTGTCTATTACTATACCTCCCCTCCACCACCAGCACACTACTAAGTGGCTCACTTGATTGAGGTATGACTATCTTCCTTGCAGTACCACTCTTGAAAGCCTCTAATCATATAGTTAAGACTCATGGAATTTACAATATCAAATAACAACTCTCTAGCTACTGATGCATCATTGGTTTCATGTGCAGGTATCTTACTTATTGTCATCTAGGGTTTGATCAGTTATTTGCTTGGTCCTTTCAAGTTGCATTTCAGTGGCTGCCATCCTCCACTTATGAGCTCATGATGAAAGAAGAATTCCTTTTGTCATCAAGAATCAATAAGGCATCCACCCATAATAAAATTTGAATTTGTGAATTTAGAGAGAATGAAGCAATCCTTGTCACTCTCTCCTCTGTTTGCTGTGTATGGAATAAGTTTTCAATAAGAATATTTGGCTTTGAATTTGTTACATCAAGTGCGCCATTGATTTTAAATTAGCTTATGTTATTGTTTACATTATGGGTTGATTTTTTTGCCAAAAGTGTCCATGCATACGCAAACTTGGCACACCACGCATCTCTCTCTAACACTCTCTTTAGGACATGCATCATCATGTTTCCTCTCTCTACCTACCACAATATCTTTACAGTTACACAATCATGAAAAGTTTATTTGGAAAGCCCAGTCATCACTGAAAAGTATGACATAAACTAGTTGCATGTGGTACATGGTACAAAACCAGGCCATATATTGCCTGATCATAATAACAAATGGTAGAGATCAGACCAAGTGGGGCGGCAATGGCCACCCCAGCGTTGGCCCTAGCCCGACCATTGTCCCCATATGACCGGTCCAAGGTCAGCTATGGCCCTATTAGGGCTGGGTTGGGCCGAGCCAAAAACAAATGAAGCAAAAATAAAAGAAACAATAAAAAAAAAGAGGGCTGGGATAGAGCCAGTGCCAACCTGGCCCTTGTCCCCAAATGGTCGGCCCAGGCGGCTTGGCTTTGGCCTTATTAGGATTGGGTCAAGCCAAAAACAAATAAAACAAAAGAAAAAAAAAAAAAAAAAAGAAAAAAAAAAAAAGGAACCGCACTGTCACTGTCACTGTCATTGGCCCTAGCCCTAACCCGGCCCTCGAGCCACAATTTACATCCTACGCCTTACTTTTTAACAGCAGGACTGATCGGGCTGCCCGGCCCATTGCCAGCCCTATTGGAGTGATTGTGAACATCCATCCATTGGCGTACGATAGACTTTTGCCAAGTCTTCACTTGGATGATTTTCAAAGTGAATATAAGTTATATATGACCTAGCTAAGCACATGCATTTACTAATAATAAACAAAAAACACTTGCGCAAACATTCACCAGGAGTGGGCCCGTACCCTATACTTTGAACGCGTTGAACCCTATTTCTTAAGGGTGCAGTTGGCATCCGGATGCATCCGTAGCTGTGTGCCTTCAAATTTTATCATGTTATATAGTTTTGATGTAAATGTTTTTAGGATTATCTCAAAATCTTTTTTTTTATCTAATTATAAAATTTTAAGTTTAAAAAATGGTTAAAATCAAGTAGATCTATAAACATATGAAAATCTTGAAAATGGACGGTGTAGATAATATTTTATAAAATGCACTATGTTTTAGACTTAAATTTTTTTTATTTTTTATGGTCATACTTCCCGATGTCGAGATGATCAACATTAAAACTACTTTTTCCGATGAATTTTTGAGGTGCATCTGTAGCTCAGGTTGCAACCTTATATAAACTTTTTCCATTTCTTAAACATTGTGCTAGTGAGACGTGAAAAATGGTACGGGCGGCCAATAGGAAGAGAGAGAAACTCTATGTAATGTATGAATGATGCAGTTGTTTAACATTGAAAGAATAATGGAATTTCAAAAACTCTTAAAAAACCTCTATAGTTAAAATTTTTAGGGAAAATTTCGCATAGAGTTCTAATTTTTCATATTATTTTATGGTAGACCATCTTTTCGTTTTTTTTCACCGCACTCCCTCATCTTTTATCTCCCTTTTTTATTGACTTTTGACCATAAAAATTAGCCCAAACAAATTTTTTTATATCATTTCATCCCAAAAACTTTTTTAACCCTCATTTTCCCTTTCCACCAATTAAAAAAAAGTTTTTGGGTTGAAATAGTATAAAAAGATTTGTTGAAGTTAATTTTATAATCAAAAGTCAATAAAAGTGGGAGATAAGAGATAAGGTTTTAGGATTGAAATAGTATAAAAAGATTTGTTGAGGTTAATTTTATAATCAAAAGTCAATAAAAGTGGGAGATAAGAGATAAGGGGGTATAGTGAAATCTTTAGATGTTTTCTTAAGCAGCTTGAAAGAAAAAGAGAATGAGGGTCTACTATAAAATAATACTAGGAATTAGGGTTCTATACGAAATTTTTCCAAATTTTTAATTAAGATTAGAGGTTTTATTTTTTAAATTGTTATTTCACTTAAATGACACCTCAAAAAATAATTACTAAAATACTTAAATTAACCCTACTTGGAATTAAGAACTTGAATAAGGAGGGGCATGCTAGCAATTTGGCCAAAACTAAACGCACTCCTGTATTAGCTACCGCCTGTTAGGCGGTTTCAATTATTTAAAATCCCCTGCTTGTAGATGTTGAGCCTTAAAAATGGACTTCTGATTTTTTTTTAAACCATTCGATGTTGTTCATTTTAATTCTTCACAAATCATCAGAATTGCACTACTGTTTTAGCTACAAAATTACAGATGTATTTTGATTTAAAATTTCAAAGGTCAATAACCTCGATCACAGTCATCATCGATCTGAAAAAATAGATTTTGTGCCTCTTTTTTTTTTTTGACAACATCAGTTACTTTTATTGATATTGTACTGAAAGAGCATGGGCTTACAAGGTGGGAATTATGGTATCAGAAAACAGATTTTGATCCTTAACAATGGACAGTTCTGAATGTGTTTTAAACCATTCAATGTTGTTCATTTTGATTCTGCGCAAATCATCAGAACAGCACTGCTGTTTTAGATTTTAGGGGAACTATCTCAAACATGCTTTTCCCTTACATCACTTTAGATGCATTTCCATGTTTAGATCCATGAATTTGCAGATCAATAAATCCTTAAATAGTACAAGTCCAATGATATGCAAGGAGCTAAAATGAATAGTGATAAATGGTTAAAAACATAATAACAATAATGTTTATTTAGGTCCAAAATTCATTTTGTTCAAATTCATAATCGTGATGGTCAATCTGTGAGGCCTTCAATTCATCTCTTAGATGGATTTCAAAGGAGACCGCATTTGAACAGGTAGGCCTATTCACGCATCAAAAATCTGTTTCAAGGGGCAAGCCTTGATATGTACATGCCCCAACTCAAATTAAATAAGTGCAATCTAGTTTAAGAGCATGCATACCATGCTCCGTGGGATTATTGTTTATTTCTACTCCCTCGGTCCTATAATGTACTTCGGAGGACTTTTTAATCTGAAATTTTGATAACCACATAATAATTACTAAATGATTATTCTAACAAAATTTTGAAAATTTGAGTTTTCTAATATTTAGGGCTCACCATTTAAAAATTGGATGGTCTCAATTCAATCTCGGGACACTACTTTTTTCAAGTACATAGATGGTATATTTAGGAAATTCTTTTTATTGAGTTTTATCTAAAGGATTAAAATTGTTACATCCCTAAAATTTGGGGTCCTAAAATTTATTCTACATGAGGGAGTAAATGGACAATCTACTCCTGCGAGAGTAGAACATCTTTTTCCCAATTTAAACCTCTCTATTTTTTATTTTTATTTTTGGTTCGTATCTATATGTACTACTTTATTGAGTAATACTTAGAAGGTAAACACATTACAACGATAAAGTGAGCCCGATCTCTAAAGACGATGTAAGGCGTGTGATCTTCAAATAATAAATTCAGTGTATGACGTAGCATGTCATTCTAGTTTTCAAAAATAATAAATCCCATCCTTTTGGAAGAGAGAGATACTTCAGGATTTGATAGAAAAATCTATATATTTTGAGAGATTTTAGGAAAAGGAGTACGTCATTGATGGAATATATATTATTAAAAATATATGAAAGTAAAAATAAATGTATTATAATGTATATTATGCCATTTTTATGAAATATATAATTCATAAATAAAATTATTAAATTATGAGTAACCTATGAGCAACAAAATATACTTCATTCATAACAAATATTGAATGATTGTTATTTCAAAAAGGCATATTTCAAACAACAATAATAACAATAATAACAACAATAATGATGTTAATGCTTTTAACACATTAAGACAATGAAAAAGTTTATATAACGTTGCAACCTAAAATGTAGAATTAAACGAGTCCGAGAGTCCTCACAGATGGGAGAGCCTGTCGGAGCTCTCCCTAGGGTGTGTTTGGATTTGGAGGAGTCCTTTATTAGGAGGGTACGGCAGACAGTGATCAGCTCTTTCTGCCCTCCGTTAGATGATACCTACGGTTTGAGTGATTGGGTTAGAAGAGCGTAGGGTCTGGCTTACTCACCTGAGGTGTTCTTGTTGGGTAAGGGTAGGATAGCCTTCGTCTTGAAGGCGGCTGGTGATGTGGTAAGGGCTCGTAGAGAGAGGTTCTATAGGGTCTGAAGTAGTTTGATGACTATTATGGATTGGAGCCCCATTGTCCACCCGTCTTTTGTTCAAAAGGACCTCATCTGGGTCTGACTATGGGGCGTTCTTCTCCATGTCTGGAATGTTAGAGTTTTTAAAAGAATTGTTGGTACATTCGGTGAACTTTGTGCGATGGATGATAGGCATCTCAGTGGTTCGAATGCAGCCTTTATTATGGTAAAAATCAATTGTTTTGTGGGCATCCCTTGCCAAAGGCAGATCACCTTACAGGTGGGTAATGACTTATTCTTGATCGATATATGTGTGGAAGGGTGTCCTTCGGTTGTTGTGGACACTAAAAGGAATCCTGATGACTACAAAGGGTAAGTGATTAACGATGAATCCACTGCTGATGGTTGGACGCTAGTGAGAAGAATGAGAGATAAGAAAATTTCAGCGTGAGTCTTTCCAGTGGCCGGCAAGGGATGGAAGAATTCGAATGTGTATGGTGATTGGTCTCACCAGATTTCTTGCCAACATTTTAAGCGCCAACGCTAGTGGAATAAGAATTTCAAAATCCGTCAAATGTGGGTTCCCATAGGCTGCTTTCCTGCTGATAAGGTGGTGGACTTATTGAACGGTGGTGATAAAATGGAATTGTTAAGAACGAAAGGGATGTGTGGTAACACTATGCCATCACTTGTCCGTGAGGGTTCGCCTAGGAGAGACTTTTATAAGTTTTCTCATTCCCAAATGTGTGCTGGAATTGAAGGCGTGGTGGCTAATTTTCGAGAGAATATCTTATGTGCTGACCTGCATGTCAATGCTTCATCCAGGGAAGACCTTAGCTACTGCAGTAAGCTGCCGAAGGTGGTGGAAAATCCTTCATCCCTGACGACCTTGCTCCTTCTGGCAACAACGAAGATTGCTGGTTTTTTGTGTCTTATGTCGGTAGCGGAAATACTTAGAGGGCTTCCTTGTAGAAAAGCAGTGAAGAAGCGGATGGAGCCAAGCGAACGTCCTCATTTCGACCCCCTTGAGGTTGATCCTCTGGCTATTGTTCCCCTTTTGGAAGACGATGAGGTGGTTGGGGAGGCGCTACAGGAGGAAGTGAATGCTACTACTCCGGCTATTGAAGATGAAGAAGATTTTGATCTTCTTTCGGAGGTGGTAGCGTCTGATGTGCAAGCTCCTATCAATGTAATCCCCCCTCTTGTGACAGCTACAGGGGAGGTCATTGTTGAGGCCGAAAAGGTGGTGATAGAGGATGACCGATATCGAATCAATGCTTGAGGGCATGGGTTTGGACTTCAGTGTCCCGATTGTCGTGGTTCTCTATACGCTTAAATAAAAAGTAAAAGCTCAGAAGTTGTGGCAAAGGAGGATGAACAGGCAGGCAGTAAGCAGCCTGACCCCGTCTCGACGCAGGGTGATCTTTTGGCTGGCCGAAAATATGTCTTTGGATGCTATGCTAAGGCGAAGGAAAAGATGAAGGTTGTGCCTTCCAGATACTTGGCTAGGTTGAGGGCCAGAGGCTCTAAGCTGGTGAAACATGACTTCTCAACGAACGAGGATGATTCGGTGATGGTTAGCTCGAATGAAAGCTCTGATTCGATGGAGGTGGCTCGATCTCTAGAACGGTAGTTTTTTTGACATGATGCCAGTGGTCCAAGTTCTTCTTCTACTTGTTTTTAATGCTTGTTCTATCTTGGAATGTTAGGTGTTTAGGAGATGTAGGTAGGAGAAAAGATGTTCTTTTTTTTGTTCGAAAGTTCAAACCTAATGTGCTTATTTTGCAAGAGACTAAGCTTCCCATCCCTTCGGTGGTTAGGGGGCATGCCTCGATTTGTTTTGATGGTGTGGATTTTGTTGGGGCCTCAGTTGGGCTATGGGTTTTATGGAACCCTCATGTCTTACAATGTTTTGATTTGCTGAAGGGTGATAGATGGATTGGTTTATTATTTAATGGCCCTTCGCCTAATTTCTCATGGGGATTATGGAATATTTACAGACCCACTACTTAAACTCTTAAGGAAGGCTTTCTTTTTGAATTATCAAATGCATTGTCCATATTTAATTTGCCTATTTGTGTAGGGGGTGATTTTAATTTGATTAGATAGCCGGAAGAGTTATCCACTGGATGTCGTATTAATGCTTCCATGAGACTGTTCAATTCTTTCATTGAAAATCATAATTTTGTTGACCTGCCTTTGTCGGGTACTTCTTTCACGGGGTCCAACAATAGCCCTGATAACCTAATTATGTCCAAAATTGATAGATTCTTAATATCCAATGAGCTGCTGGAATTTTTTCCTCATGTGTCTGTCAAAGCCCTCCCCAAGTTTTCGTCTGATCATGTACCTTTGTTATTGAATTCTAGAATTCTTTGGCTGGTCCTAAACTATTCCGTATGGAGATAGGGTAGTTGGATGAAAAAGGGGTGGGAGATCTCATTAGAACCACATGGACTAACATTGTTACCTACGGTTCTCTTGATTTCCAGCTACACAAGAAATTACTCAATGTGAAGAATAAGTTAATCCAGTGGAAGAAAGATGATCAGTTCTAATTAAGTGCAAAGATCGATAGAGCCTTGGAAGATATTCAGGGCATTGACCAAACAATTCAAAGTGAAGGGCGTTACTCTGAGCAATCCTTTATTCAAAGGATCGAAAACAGTTAACTCTTTGAATGAGTTACGTAGATCTGAAGAGATCTACTGGAGACAAAGATCATGGGTCAAACGACTTAGGGAAGGGAACCTAAACACCAAGTATTTTTCATGCAATTACTAGTTCCTGTAGAAGACAGAATGATATCTCGGGTGGACCAGGTTTATCTATTATGGGGTTCGACCAGGATGATAAAGCGGGTCGTGATCATGCGATCATTGATCACTTATGTAGTGCCTTCACCTCTAATGTGAGTTTTGCTCCCTCGATGGAGTGTATCCCCTTCAATATACTCCCAATTGAGCTCGCTGATCAGCTGGAGGTTGAGGTGACTATGGAGGAGCTTAAATCTGCAGTATTCTCCCTGGAAGGGGACAAAGCGTGGGGACCAGATGGTTTTCCTATGTGCTTTTTCTATAGGTTCTAAGCAATGTTTTCGGTGAAGTTGCTAAATATTGTTTGGAGCTTTCTTTTAAGGAGGGAATTATTTAAGGGGATAAACTCTACTTTTATTGCTCTCATACCGAAGAAATATGTTATTGCAGCACTTTCAAATATTAGGCCCATTAGTCTGTTGACTACCCTGTATAAAGTTATTGCTAAGATTTGGACAATTTGGCTGAAAAATATTCTCCAAGTGATCATGATCATTTCAGGGCCTCAATCTGCCTTTATTCAGAATATGTCATTACGGATAGTGTCTTAGTAGCTCAAGAATACATTCATTCGAGAGTGGTGAGTGAAGAACCAGGTGTGGTCATTAAGTTGGACATAGAAAAGGCTTATGGTAGAGTTGAGTGGAGTATTTTGTTAGAGATTATGAAGATGATGGGGTTTGGTTCGAAATGGAGAAACTGGATCTTTGGATGTGTGTCCTCTGCTTAGTTCTCAATGATTATAGAAGGTAATCCCAAAGGTTTTTTTAAAGCTTTGAGATGACTACGTTAGGGGGACCCCCTCTCGCCTTTCCTTTTGCACTATCTATGCAGGATGCTTTAGCCTCATGATGACCAACATAGTCAACATGGGCAATTTCTCGGGTTTCAAAGTTGGTGTGAGGGGACCTGTGATTTCTCACCTTCCATATGCCGATGACACTCTTATCTTTGCCGAAGCTAAGAAGGAACATATGAAAAATATTGAGAGGTTTTTAAGATGTTGCGAAGTGGTTGTGGGATTAAAGGTTAATTTCGCTAAAACTTCCTTAGTAGGGATTAACTGTAATGGGGCCATGGCTAAGGATTTAGCCAGGACTTTGGGATGTAAAATGGACTCTTTTCCTTTGGTTTATCTGGGTTTGCCAATTTCTGATAAGGGGTTCCCTACCTCAATTTGGGATAGAGTTATTCAGAGAGTTCAAGTGAAATTGGCCCTGTGGCAGCCTAGATATCTGTCTCTGGGTGGTAGGGTGATACTGTTACACTCTTGTTTAGCTAATCTCTCCTAAAGATGCCTTTAGGAGTGGTTAAATTGATAGAGAGGATGATGCGAAATTTCTTACGGGGGTCTTATAGGGTTAACAAGAAGCATCATTTGCTCAGATTGGATAGGGTTTGCACCCCAAAAAGTGAAGGGGGGTCGAGTATAAGGAGGTTGTCACTGATGATGAGGCATTCATTGTTAACGAAATGGTGGTGGCAAAGCTTGCACTTCAAAGAGCAGCTCTAGTGTAAGGTTCATGGGAACAAATATGGTTTAGATGGTTTTGGTGTTTGGATTGGAGGGGGGTCGAGAAATGTTTCGCGCTAGGTGTTCTGAAAGAATATCTTCTATTATTACAGTGGCGGTGTGTTGGGACATATGGAGAGAGCATAATCGCCGCACATTTGATGGGGTGGCCATCCCCATTGATGGAATCCTCCATCGGATCTTTCATACCTCCTGGAGCTAGCTCTTAGTTACGAAGGGGGGGAGACGTATCTCGGAAACAAATGTTCAGTTGATCCTTATTAATTTGGTCTTCTCTAAGGGTGCTAGTATTAGACCGGTTCATGGATGACTACCTCCTTGTGTTGGCTACCTTAAATTAAACTTTGACGGTAGTTTGCGTGGTAATATGGGGGAAGCATGTATTGGACGTGTGGTAAGGAATATGGAATGGAACTTTATTCTTGCCTATGCGGGCCCGATTGGATTTGCTGCTACTAATTGTGTAGAATTAACCTCCTTACTCCAAGGCTTGTTGTTCATCAAATCAATGAATCTCGAGACTGTCATTATGGTGGAAGGCAAGTCCTTAAATGTCATTAGGTGGTGTAAGAAGGAGCAGAGTGTTCATTGGTCTATTCGGTCTTTATGGGGTCAGGTGATGGATCTATCAGTGCTCTTTACTCTGACTTTTATACATGTATATAGGGAGGCCAATGACGTGGCTGATGGCCTTGCCAAGAGAGGTGTCTCACTGAACTCTATCTTTGTACTGAATGATGAAATTTCCTTTTTGTTTCCAGCAATAAATTTTTGAACTTCGATCAAAAAAAAAATTGTAGAATTAAAGATGTACCTAAAAAATCCATCGAAAAATGATGTTTTAATGTTGAAAAACCCTCTTATTGATCATTTCGACATCGATATGTATGAGTATGAAAAAGAAATAAAAAATTGAATCCCAAGAATAGTACATCTTGCAGCACATTATCTAAACCGTCCATTTTCAAGATTTTCAAATGTTTATAGATCTACTTGATTTTAACCATTTTTTTATGCTAAAATTTTATAATTATATATGAAAATAGATTTTCAGATAATCCTATCATTTTTTATATGAAAATTACATGTTATGATAAAATTTAAAGGTGCGCACATCATGGAAAAATGATTGATTAGTCTAGGGACACGTGTCTCCTTTACCCTCAAACATCTTTCAGATGAACCATCATAAGAAGGCCCAATTGAAATTCCAAAATAGATAGTGCAAAACAAAATTTCAAAAATTATCATTTACACTTTTAAAGTTTATTTTTTGAGCATTAATGATCCTCATGTTTTAGATTAGAGCGCGGTTTGTATAAGGCCTAGACTCACCTTCAAATAGTGCCAAGGAATTGTAGTTTCAATATTGGAAATCTTTGTGATAGCCTTAAAATTTATTTTCATCTCTAATCATAAAAATTAAAGCTTAAAAAATAGTGTAGATCGGGCAGATCAATGAAAATCTTGATAATTGATCCAAAAATGCAATACAAGATGCACTATTTTCAAAACTTTGAAATCTATTTTTTCTCATGTCCATGCATCTTGAAGTCGAGACAATCAATTTGAGAATATTTGGGCATCAAAATAACCTCTTCTAGTAAAACTTTAAGGTGCACCTTAATTTGATTGTTTAGAGCCTCAGACTTATATAAACTTTTTCCTTTAGATTATCGATCGCTAAAAAATTTGGATCCGAAATTTATGTTTTGACATGAATCTTGGAGGGAGAACGCATATGAATAGTAAGTCAGTCAACTCACAAAAATGGATCATAATATAATATTAGGTTTGTATAAAGGGTTGATTAGTTTTAATGAGATAAGGATAAGTTAGGCTTAGTACATTTGAATAAGAAAAGAGTGTCTTGATTCATGAGCTTCACGTATGAAAGAGTTGGTTAGGATTAGCTAAGGGATAGAATGTGAGTCTCCTTGATTCATGGGTTTCACATATGTGAGAGAAAGAGAGGTTCACATGATATAAAAAGAAGATAGAGAGAAGTGTTAGGGAGAGAAGAAATAAGAATCTAGGTAGATAGATATGGGGAAAATTGTAGGAGAGACATAAATATATTTTTATTTTTATTATTTTAATTGTATTTAAAGGAGAAAAGTCCCTTCTTTGTAGGATAACTACTGGAATTGAGTAACGAATTTGGGTCTTGTGAAAAGATTTTTACGGTGAACTCCCTTGCATACTTAGACTGAGGGTATCATTCCAAGCTTTTTTTATTTTTTATTTTTATTATCCTGATTATTATTTTCTCCTTGCCTCAATACATCTTGCTATTGGGATGATCAATTAGAGGATCTTCCAACATCAAAACAACCTTTTCCGATGAATTTTTGAGGTGCGCATTAATTCTACATTTTAAGGTTGCAACCTTATGCAAACTTTTTCCATAGTATGGGTATAATGACATTATAAGTCACTATTGTATAATGCCATTATTATACTATAGTATCACATTATAATAAAATTATACTTATAGTAATGATGATGTTTATGATGACATTTCATAATTTTAATTATATAAGGAGATATACACATGTGTGCACACACTTAAATATCAATTAAATTCTTAATTATTATTAATAAAATAATTATAATCTTATTAATATTCCAAAAAAATAGTTTATGTAGAGCCGAGACTCTAAACAATCAAATTAGAACCCACCTCAAAAATTTCATTAGAAGAGGTTGTTTTGATACTCAAATATCCTCAAATTGATCATCTCGACATCAAGATGCGTGAAAACTCTTGTAACGCATTTTTGGACTGTTTGTTTTCATAGATTTGTTCAATCTACACTATTTTTTAAGCGTTGAATTTTATAATTAAAGATAAAAATATACTTTAAGGCTATCACAAATATTTCCATTATAGAAACAGTATTTATCTACACTATTTGAAGGTGGGCTTTAATTTGATTGTTTAGATCCTTGGCTCTATACAAACCACACCTATATTCTAATTATATAATTATATAGATTAAATTATAGTGATATTTATATAGCGAATTATCATCATCATCATCATCATCATCATCATCATCATCATCATCATCATCGTCGTCGTCGTCATCATCATCATCGTCATCATCATCATCATCATCGTCGTCGTCGTCATCATCATTATCATCATCATCATCATCATCATTATTATTATTATTATCATTCTTATTATTCTTATGAAAAAAGTTTATATCAGATTGCAACCTTAAAATATATAATTAAAGATGCACCTCAAAAATCCATAGGAAAAAAGTTGTGTTAATGTTGAAAAATCCTTGTATGAATATGAAAAAAAAAAAAAGAGTCCAAAAAATAGTGCATCTTGCAACACATTATTTAGACTATCAGTTTTCAAGATTTTTATATGTTTATAGATCTACTTGATTTTAACCTTTCTTGGAGTTTAAAATTTTATAATTAGATATAAAAATAGATTTTCATATAATCTTAAGAATTTTTTACAGGAAAATTTGAAGGTGTGCTTTAATTGGATTGTTTAAGGTTGCAACGTTATAAAAACCACACCCTATTATTATTACTACTACTATTATTGTTATTGTTTTTATTTATTACCTAATATTCATAATAATTTAATCATGAAAATATAAAATAATATGAATTCTAACGATATAATATTAATAAATTGTAATTTTATAGTAAACTGTAATTATAAATTATGTAGTTATAATTGTATGAGTTTGCTATAGATGATATAATAGGAGATGTATACAATGATCATTTTGAATAATTATGTATAACTATAACAAATTATATATTAATATAACATTTGTGTATGTATATATTGATAGCTAAATAGATTGGGCCCTATTTCTTTTAGTATCTTTTAAATATTCTATTATCCTCTAATTTTCTTTAAAGAAACATGTCATCTTTATTTAAAATTTAGAAGTATGATCTCTCCAATACATATTTAAATTGATTAACTAAGTGCAATATACATAAACCAACAAGCAGAAGAGCAAGGCAGAGGCAACCCCCCCACCCCCCCCCCCCCTCCCCCCCCCTCCCTCTCTCTCTCTCTCAATGAACACTAGTTTGATTACATGTGTTGCACATAATAATAAAATATTCGATCTTGTAAATAGTGTAAAACACATCACTTAGAGAGAATCAATATATATCTGTAAATGTGCAAGGTATTTAAGTTCTAGAGT